AATACAATAAAAAGATATTGCTTACCAATATTCATAATACGCTGTTCATATTAGGGTTTTCCAATAGGGGAGGTAAGTACTATTGTTGTTACAACACTCTATCGCGTTATACACTCGTCTTTCTGACGCGGGAGTCTCGAGAGGGCTGTTTTGAATGTTAGTGCCCATATCGGCCGCGTAGGCTGACGAACGACGCTGCTGTCGCTACGCGAGAGACGACTGTGCCTCGCTTTTGCTGTGCGAAAATTTGAGCGTGGGCGTTAGCTTGCTGACCATACAGGATGTTGCTTGATACTTAAAAATCATTGGCCGTGCGAACGCGAAAACGTTCTTGTGCTCGGCGTAGCCTACGCAGCTGCGCCTGTCAGCAACCGCCCACGCAACATCGCAACCTCTCTGGCGCCTGTTGGCAGTCTATGAGCGCCGGCGGTCCATTGTCGGGACTTGAATGCGAGCATTTTATGTACCTCCGCGAACATTAACCCTCACGACGATGAACCCCGGGCGCTCGCAGACGGAAGGTTGCAATGCGGCGTGAGCGGTTGTTGAACGACACCCCGTAGGGTACACCGGGCGCTGGAAAGGATTCATGACGACAAAGTAGCGTCTTGCACCTTCAGCAACCTAACGGTGCTCGAGATTCGCACTCTCAGATTTCAGCAGAGCGACCGCGGTCAGCCAGATCGAGTCGAAGTCGGCTCTCGCGTCGTGATTGCTACCTTGTTCGTGTAACTACACTGATGACACGTGCACTGGCATTAAATACAGCCCTCTCGAGATTCTATTCGAGTCCAATAGACGAGTTTATAGCGCGATTGATTGTTGTGAAAAAGCAGGAGTCACCTCGGTAGCAATGTAAGCAGCGGTTTTTTGCGTTCGTTTTCAGGAAGCGTGGAGAACGACGAACTATACTCAAAAACATTAAATATAAAAAAATACAGCACGCAGAGAGAAACATATATTAATCCGTAACAAACATGGCAGTGACACGGACAAGTACAAAACGCTAACGCTACGAAATGCATATTCTTACAATAAAAAAATGCACTGGAAGAGATAGAAATGGATAAATGAGGCTAAAAAACGGAAGATTGAGATGACGTCAACGCCGAGGTAAGGCAATGCGAAAATCAACGCCGAGGTAAGGCAATGAAGAGGAGCCGGCCTAACTGAAATACTTCTACAGGCAGATAAGGGCGATTTTGTGATCTTGTGTCTATAACACCTGCGACCCTATTAGGCTAGCTAGAGAATATTCTCACCCAAAGGGTGCGCATGAATGATTCTCTTAAACCTTCCTACCGATGCATCGGTAAGAAGATCGCGAGTCTTTTGCCGAAGCGACATAAAACACCGTTGAGCTGGCTAAAGAATATTGAATGGGCGCGAATATATGGCTTCACAAACGTGCATTCCTCTATAGCCGGCTAAAGCACATTGAGAGGTTGGAGCTTTGGTTATATAAAACACCATTGACTGGGCTAAAAAAATAAGTGGTCGCGAGTGTATAAATTTAGGTACATACATCAGTCTATAGAGGCTGAACCATATTGAATAGTCATGAATCTATAGTAATAAGGATATACCTTTTCCTACAGTTCGCTAAGGGTAATTGAAGAGCCGCGAGTTTAAAGCTCCCTTGAGACAGGCTATTGTATAGTCGGCTATCGAAGTCTGAATGGTCGAGACTCTATAGCTTTGAAGACATTGATCATTCTGTAAGTGGCTACAGCGTGTCTTATGCTTTTTATAGGGCTGGACGTAAAAGGCCATATACGGTGACAGGTCATCATAAGAAGGCGAATTCCTTATCGGTAATATGCACCGACGGTGCAGTTACGGAGGTTTCCTCACGTGCCATCCTTATATTGTACTTGATTGTACGCTTCGATTTGTTTTCTAGAGAAACAACCGAGGCGTACAATCGAAGCGTACAATGGAGAGCAAGCTCTACGTTTTGTTTTTAATTTCCCAAGAATTGATGTTCTCTGGAGATTTGGTGCACACGGGCATTTGTTCCAGTTAATGGCAAGATTGCCCGAGGAAGAATATCTGATTGATAACGCGTGGTCGCGAGACCTATCATTAATGCAGCGCGCCGTCTGGTCCACGTACACCCTTCTGCATGTCATTGGTATCTCGTAGCTAGACAACTGCGTAGCAGAGTCAAGGAACTTTGTAGCGTGATTTTTTTCACATGGAATTATCATCCCTTTTTTGTAATTGATTTTTGAGCACGGCTCGATTAGTTTGTTTGCAGCCGAGAAAACAACAGAAACCTCAAATTGTGCTTCAACGTTTTTTTAGGTTCTGAGAAAACCTACGTCTCTATGGGATTACCACCGGTCTCGTTTTTCCTCCCTGAGCCACTCTTGATTCTTTCTTTTAGAGCGTTGATCTAATGGTTTCAGCGAATTCTGCTACGAAACGTTCAGAATAGCCGGCAGTTTCCAGGTCACCTTTGTGATGGCTGAAACTTGCCCATAACTTGTGGGAAAAGCTTGTCAAGTGAGGATTTCATCAATGACGAAGAAATCCTTCTTTTAAACAATTTTGAAAGTGTGGAAGTAAATGGAAGAACCTTCTTCTTCGAGCGCAGCAAATATTTCTAACATGCATGTTCCTTTTCAAAGGGCATGTTCAAATCTAAAAACTACAGCTTGCCTGATGCACTTTGGTGGACGAAAGTAAGGTCATGTGAATTTAAAAAAACATTTTTTACATGACGACACATCGCTGTGTCGTCACGATCAAGTCGTGACGACACAGCGATAGAACTCAGTTACAACGTCAACAGTTTTATGAATGACTCGACCCTCGCACCCCTTGTATTCTTATAGCAGGTATCACAATTTAAGCCTATGTAACGCCTAACCGCGAGGAACAGTTTGTCATGAATAACTGAGTAGAATTTGTCTTCTACAGCTAATGAAAACATACCACTCTAACTCGGGCCGCCTTCACAAAAGGAGTCGATCACTGGATCAATATCCGAACTAAGAACGGGTCCTTGAGGACTAGCCCAGCCAAGGGCAGGCGAAGTAGCCCCTAGTTTCCGTCCGCCACGAGTCTTTTTCAGTCAAAATTGCACTCATTGAGCAGTCCACTTTGTGGGTTTTTGTGGTTAAAAGCACAGCGTGGCTCAGCTTCGCTGTGCTATTCACCGAAAAAAACACAAGCATGTTTCCGCTGGCCGGCATATTTACTGTGTTGAAAAAGAGACAACGAAATATTTATTTATTTAATATTTATTATTAATCTGCGGTCGTTGAATTCTCTTTACGAATCCTGTCAGTTCCAACATTTAGCACACGTCCTTAACTTCTTATTTGATCTTGTTTAGTGATACATTTTTCACCTGCCTGAAATTCTCGACAATGGCCGTCCTTGACGTTTCCCCAAAGAGGCCCTGCAAGAGCACCGCAAGGCCGTCTTTCTTGTCTGACGTCAGAAGTTTGAGCGTGTTGGCCTCGAAGTAGAAAACCACGGGTACGGGCACGGGCTCACGGGAACGGTCCTCGACGTCCCGCTCAGCTCCTTATACTTGTATCTCAAGTTTTAGACCGTCTCCGAAATGCGCTTCTCCTTTTCTTCCGGTGGGGCTTTTTCTCCAAGGGTCATGCAAGGCACACCTGCTCGATGGGTTTAGGACGGGGTTGTAGGTTGTACTTAGGTCCCAGTCCGAGAACATCCGTCACCTTCTCTGGTGCCGAAAAATTTCCCAGAAAGGTGACGCCGCTGAAGGATCTGGCGCTCTGGCTTTTCTTCTTAAAAATGGTAGCTCGGAGTCCCTCCCAAAGGAAATCCGTAGTCTGTCGAGCCAAGCCTCAGACACTCTCCGCAATTCCTCTCAGCCGCGTTGTTTTTATTTTTCGTTTTTTGGTTTGTTGTTTGGTCGATGAGACCAGATTGTCAAGCAATATTTGTGCCTCGTCACGTTTGCCCCCATTTCCGCGCGTACGATTTTGCATATCCTCTTAGCGTGCCACGCTGAAGGCGGTGCGCCCCCAAACAAAGCCAGCACATCCAGGGGACAAAACCAGCTCTGATGGCCTATGAGTAATGTCGAGTCGGGCACATTAACGGCGCTATTAAACTTGAATACCAGGTCTCTGAAGCTCGGTTATCGTTAAGGGTCAAAGAAAAGTCCCATATAGAAGAAATAAATTGCAACAAAATGGCTAATAGGGCTAGTTTGTTCCTGGTCATATATTTGTTGGTGTTCGCACAGCAAAGCAGTAATCTCATTGCTATTAACCCATGCATACCGTGCCTACGATAAAACAGCACACATTGATGTTTCTTAGCCCTGTTAATGAATCATCGTCCAAAGCGAATCGCTCGTACCCACACTCACCCACTGATATATCATGCGAGGATCTGTGGAGAGGTTACACCTTGCAGAAAAGTGCTAGTGCTAGCCCGCCACAAAAAAAATGGTTTGTCGTTTGTCGCGGATGAACGTGTTTATTCCCCACACGTTGCCAACAACTTAAGGAATGGGGCGGTAATAACACACGAGACAACAAAAATAAACAAAACGCATTTTGATTGCACCGTGCAGATTTATTTTGTAACCGCAGCGTTTCACTGTCTATTGTGAAACTATTCACGTACTTCAGATGCGAGTTTTATTTCGTGGAAGAATAAACTTTATTTTATATTTTCAGAGCTACTGAATACTCTCAGGTTGAACTGGTCTTTTTCAAAGGTCAGTATTTTTCCTTTTTTTAATGTTCTAATGGCAGTGCATTGAAAACTTAAAAAGAAATATACAAAACAGAAAGCAATGAACAGTTCAAAAACCCAGGAAGGTGCTGAGTTTAGTATGTTTAGCAAACATACGGAAGTATTTTTTGTCGGATCAAAATGCTTACTTACAAGATAGCAAAAAAATAACAGTGTTCGTAAGGGGTCACATGGTAAGGCTTCAAAGAATAAAAGTACGAAGATAAAAAGCTGAAATTACAGGAAACGTTCAGATTTTAGCCGGAGTAAATATGCTGCGTATCTTTTCAGCTGTGACAGTATGTACTATTCTAGCGACGCAAATACCGTCTAGGGCACTCGGCACTACTATAGCAGAGAGGCTCTTTCAGGTACGAAATCTTTAAACGAATTTGCATGGCTTTAAGAGGTACTCATTTTGGAACAGATTACACGTTTTCGAGCCAAGCGAAAACTTGTTAAGCTGACGCAAATATAAATATGCAAGGATATCTTAGAACTTATATGTTTCTTGTAATTATAATTGTAAACCTAGATATTTGTCACTCCGTGCCTCCCCGCGTCTGAGCAGGCCTCATAGCAACTGGATATTACCACAACTAGTCTCGCTAAAATGAACACTCGTGCAAAACTTGGAATTAAATATTGTCGGTGTGATGTTAAGTGTTCGGGGAAAACTCCTCGTACCTCTTTCGTCTTCAGCAGAGCGAGCATTTGAGGGGATGTGACCTCCTGTCCAGCGTTCGCTCTGCTAAAGTGAAAAGAGGTGGGAGGAGCTTGCCCTGAACTCCTAACTTGTCGCCGACTATAGTTCATGCTAATACGTGTCCTACAACAGTTACTATTCGCTGATACTCTCTGCTAGTGCATAGTGAGGTTGTAGAAGATAAGAGGACGGTGTGGGTAATTAATGTTTTACACTCCCTGTCCGCAAAAACATTTAAAATAACGTATCTGATATACTAAATTTCATGAAAAATAGCATAGGATAATGAAAATAAATGTCGCTGTCAGTTTTTTTTTGTTTTTTTTACTTGTGAGAGTGCTTTGGGTGTTTGTTGTTCGTTCGTTCCTTGTTTTATGGTTGTGGAAAGCGGGTAAATTTTTTCATTTTTTTGTTTTTGTCTTTTCGTGGTAGTGGTTTGTGTTTTTTTATGTTAGCTTCCTTGCACCTGTAAACATTTCTCTTGTTTAGTTTTAGCAAACTCTAGATGTTTCCGAAGCTACAATGCGTGCTTACCCTAAGGCTTCGATGTATGTGGTGCTTCTTGGATCCTCAGTCTTGAGTTTCTCTTTATTAGAGAGTTTTAGGGAACCGGAACAAAATACGATCGATAAACAAAAACGATCGATACCTTGGATCGGGCGTGTGGACCGATCGTGTGCCCTGAAACGGCTTTGGGGGAACCGTTTTGCAGACGATAGCAGACGATCGGTACAGGTCGCGCCCCCTGGCAACGAAAACCTGCATCCGCCTCATCGAGAAAAGACAAATTTGCGTTTGTTCGTACAAATCGCAGAAACTTAAGTAAATAAAGATCGCACCCTAAATATATAGAGAACCAAAAAAATAGTATACCTACTTATAGTTCGTCTCGTTTTTTTACTGGAATGAATGCGCTTCCGTAATACAAAAACTGGCGCACCACGGCGTGTCGCCCCTAGCACGGCGAAGCTCTAAAATGTTCTTCTGCTAAAGAAGCAGACAAGCTTTCCGACAACAATGGCGCTCGATCTTTTTGACCATGCCTGGGAGTTGGCTCTATTCAGCGAAAGCAATTTAGAAAAAGTGATTTTGTACGACTGTCTGCGCACTAAGTGTGGCGTGAGTCTCTTTTGAACTTCCCGCTTTCTATACGCGAGGCACGCACGCGCGTGCCGTGGGGCCCGTGACTTGTGCAGGGGCACGAGGGAATAAACATTCTTTTTGGTTTGCCGTGACACGGAGTCAGTCGCATTCCTTTCGGGTGCCACCGAGCACCGATACACTAAGAGAAGGCGCTTGTTGGCGGCAAGGCATAGGACGTTCAACTTGGCGTAGCTTGTAGCTTTTGAGTAAACAAAAAAGTTGTGATACCAGGAATGATGTGCGGATACCACGAATGATGTGCCAGCGTATTTTGGGTTTTTTTTTTCTTTCAGTTTACCAGATTTATATACTTGGGGAATAAAATAATGCCTCGACCGTACATGGTAACTTGTTTTCAAACAAATCATCCGTTCTCAGCGGGCAAACTTCGGTGTTTTACATCAAAAAATATGATGTTTACACCAACCACGTCCTGATATGCTGAAACGTTGCCGAAAGCAAACTCGATTTGGCACAAGACACGCTCGCGCGCGCTTATCATCAACATTCGAAGTCGTCTGCTGGCGATCCTGTCTTTTTCCCTCGAGGCCCAATGCAGGATCGAGTATTAAGAAAGCTATGGACAAATAAAACTAGAAATATTAAATCTCGAAGAAAATACAAAAATAACCAAAATATACTCACTTTTTCAAGTTGATGCGGTCGTTTTTCTTGTACAAAGCTAATTCAATTCAATTTTCAATTCAATTTTCAATTTAATTCACTTTTTAGTTTAAGATCAAGTCATACAAAATAAAGAGCTGGCCCAAAAACGCAGCATTCTGTTTGTATGTGGGGCCAGGCGACCAACTATAATACATGTTGTTACAAAAAAAAAAACACACCGCAGCACAAAAAAGAAAAAAAATGAAAGGAACACAAAATTAGCAGCACAAATAAATACAAAAAGGAACACTTTAGAGCATGAAATATAGGTGTTTATAGCCAAGTCTACTCACGCAACCATGAAATAAAAGTACGAAATATCTCCAACGGTTAGGCTACGATATCTACAGCTCAAATGCTTGACACCAATTCCTTAATTTCCTTTTTAGTAGTACCCTAGTGGATTCTACATTCATAAGGGACTCTGGGAATTCGTTACTTTCCATACAGTGTGTATATTTTTGAAATGACGTATCTTTCAGTACGTCTTAAATCTCTATTTTTATTTACGAAGAGGTCAATCCGTTCCTTCGCTCCTCGCAACGATAAGTTCTTTTTCAACGTTGCGTCATTCCAAAGTGCTGGAGCGAAAAAGGAGTAGCGCCTAGCAGCTCCTGAAGTAGAAAGATGTTGCCTACTACTTTAAATCGCTTGCGAGGAGGAGGCGGAGGGACGGAGGTAGATGCGGCGCTCATGTTGCTCTCTTACGGTACAGGTAGCAGACGATCACGGTCGTACGCCCGCGTACCGATCGTTGTGCCGTGTACGGTACGACCACGAAGAAAACATAAAGGAAAACCTGTAACTTTACTGCTGTGCACTTATTAAAACTATCACCAAATATTCAAAGGGCTCGTTTTATAGGATATATGTGATTAGCATTTGTACAGAAATTTTTAATTCACGCAACATTTTTAAACTAAAATGTATCCAGAGCCTTGATGCAGAAGGCTGTTGCACACTCTGGTGCCACTACAGATAATCCTGTCATAACAGCAGCTGTAAAGAACGGGTGGTAAGTGCTCAAAATGCACATCCAATGTTTGTATAAGAAAAAAAAACTTACAATATGTAAAAAAAAAAAAAAAAAAAAAAGTTGTTTTGGGCCACCGGGATTCGAACTCTCCATTACCGGTCCTCTACGAGCTCAAGAAATCGGCGCTCCAATCCACTGAGCTACCGAGCAGACAACTTTTGGCTGCGCTAAAGACCGATTTATTTCTATCGAAAAAGTCCTATTGCGTTTTGTTCTTTATTCTTCCTTTTGTTTGCTGACTCAAACTTTATGGACTTGCTGTCACACATGGCGCTCCTGCCAGGCACTGCCACGAGTTATTTTATTCATGTTTGGAGCCGCGGCACGCTCTCTCCGCCAGCGAAATAGCCGTTTTGCTAACGAAGCGAGACTGTCCATGCCGGCCATTGGAAGTGCCGGTCGTGCCTTACGGTTCCAACAGCGCATTACAGTAAGATCGCAGAAGACAGGCGCATGCGCAGTTCGTACCGGAGGGCCCATCGTACCGTATCGGATGTGCAAAAACGGTTCCCTAAAACTCTCTATTGTTTTTAACTCTCTGCAGCTTGTTTACCCCCATTTATTTTGTTTATTTCTATTTTATTTGTGTTTATGTTTTCCAAATGAACGTCAACCCTGAAGGTTTTCTGTCTAGTTTTGTTTAGTTTAAAATAATGTTTATCCGGCTACTGACAACCGCTTTTTGTTCTTGTTCCCGAAGTTTTTTCAAGCTCTTCAAGAGGGAGACGTTATTTACACAACACGGGCTTCCTACCAGCAGAGAAATTCCCGAGTAGACTGCGTCATGCGTACTAAAATAAGTTCAGACAATACAGTAGTAAGAATGTGCATGCAAAGTGAAATAAACACTCCACGACTAAAACCGTAAGTATGTCGCAATCCTTAACTTGCAGACAGGGTCGAAAACATTATTTTGGTAGGCTTAATTATCCAGGATTTGGAAGAGACACAACGGCTCTCGCACACGCACTTTCAGGGAAGCGATTGATATTGTGCAGTTCTCCCATTGATTTAGAGCCGTGGCTTTCAAATGGGGGTCCGCAGACCCTTTGGGGACCAGGAAGGCATTCCAGGGGTCCGCGCCTCATCAGTAAAGCCCGGAAATAAAAGGTTGATTTTTTTTTTTTTTTTTTAGATCGAGAAGAAATGTTTCAGATTTCGGACGAATTTTCTCGTGTGTATGTCATTACGAGAAGACTACTTCACACTAGTCCTTAGTTATATCCATTTATTCAATCATTATTATATTTAACCTCTACTTTTCACCTCCCTTCACCACGAACGGAGTCCTCTATTATCTCGGCTGATCCACAAGGGGTCCGCGAAACATTGATGATTAAGCACCACTGATCTAGAATACCGTATCCGAAAGTTATTTTTTTTTATCCCAGAAGATTTTTCCGAACAAATTCCAGAGTGGTTGTATATATATCAACGCAGCTTTGTTTAGACCAGGATGTTTGTAATATTCACCTCCCAAAAGAGCAATGACAGGGGCTGTTATTGATGGAGCGCAGCCACCTGAGTGTCTCAGGGGCAACGCACAGGCCTGCGGATCCTCCTAGGTGGCGGGTTCGAATGCCGGCCAGCGGGCTTGCCATTCGACAGGTGCCGTTGCGCAGAAGGCGCCGTGTAACCGTGACTTAGGTTGAAACGTCAAAGGATGCCCAGGGTAGAAATGAATCCTCAGTTGTCCGCTGGGGCGCTCCAGATGTCCTTTGTTCAGAGTCGCCTTCGTTAATTTGGCACGTAAAACCCTTAAGTTTGTTTTTAGGATGAAGTGCCTCGTGCCGTCGTTAAAACCGTTAGGTGAAACATTTTTGATTCGCTAGCAGCTGATTACTCCGTACCATACTTGGGGAAAAAGCTCCAGGAACGTATTCTGCTCTAGCGCGGCGGAAGCAAGAGAAGGTGTTGTTAGTATCGGACTTTGTAACTCTTTTTTACACTCTATACGGCATATAGGCAACGTATGAAGATCACATACAGACGAACCAGGAAGTGCGACGTTGTCACTGAACGGTGGAGCAGAGGTGAGTGACGCAATGAAACGTATGATTCTGGAGGTGGCAGTCATTGAAACTGACGCGCAGCTGCCAATGGTGCCTCGTCGACGCGCGCCAACCGATGGAACCGAAGCCGAAATTCATTAGCTTTACACCGCTCCTTTGGGATCGGGAAAAGTAGGTGCCATTTGGATAGGTTTTTCGCGTGGTTTCATAGCTCGGTGCCGGCTTCACTTGGAGAAACGATTTAAGGTAACGTTTGCCGCGGTCTCGAGGCTGATGACGTCGGCTCGCTCCATGTGACAGTTAATGCTTTCGCATTAAAAACAAATTTACTCACCTTCGAGCTCCAGAAAACACGTTCGATCCTTGTTGACCACTGATCTCGTAGCAAGGTCCCCAACGTAGTAACAATTTGGATTTGGATTTGGATATGCGGCTAATCCTTTTGTAACGGGGGATCCCCGCGTACTGGATCTAGCCAAAATTATCTGCTATTTTCTTCTTGGTTTTTCTTTCACCGGTGGTCCTATCTTCTTTTTGTCCATTCCACCACCGGTGTGGGCCGGGGGCACCTGCCCACAGTGGTGTCGGCGCCGTCGTTGCCCTCCTCGTCGATCTCCCGGAAGCCCAACGCCACCGCCATGTCTCCGCTGCACGGCACCTCCGGCTGCAGGCTCGCGCACTCCAGGATGGCGTGCTGCAGCGTTTCTTCAGCCTCCTGTGTGCACAGGGTGCATCGCACGACGATGTCTGTGTACTTGGCTCGAAACACTCGCGTTCGCAGCATGCCTCCCCGGGCGTCCAACAGAAGTCCACTGCTCCTGCCGGTGTCCATGAATTCTACCTTCCTCACTTCCTGTTTTAGAGCGCAGCTCTTAGGCGCCCGTTTCCGGCTTGAGCGGCGTCGCCGTCGCCGTCGCCGTTAAATTTTCCCGCTAAATCTAGCGGAAAATTTCCCCGATAAATCTAGCGGAAAATTTCCCCGCTAAATCTAGCGAAAAAAATTTCCCCGCTAAATCTAGCGGAAAAATTTCCCCGCTAAATCTAGCGGAAAAAATTTCCCCGCTAAATCTAGCGGAAAATTTCCCCGCTAAATCTAGCGAAAAAAATTTCCCCGCTATATCTAGCGGAAAAATTTCCCCGCTAAATCTAGCGGAAAAATTTCCCCGCTAAATCTAGCGGAAAAAATTTCCCCGCTAAATCTAGCAGAAAAAATTTCCCCGCTAAATCTAGCGGAAAAAAATTTCCCCCTAAATGTAGCGGAAAAATTTCCCCGTCAAATTAGCGGAAAAAATTTCCCCGCTAAATCTAGCGGAAAGCTTTCCCCGCTAAATTAGCGGAAAAAATTTCCCCGCTAAACTAGCGGAAAAATTTCTCCGCTAAATCTAGCAGAAAAATTTCCCCGCTAAATCTAGCGAAAAACATTTCCCCGCTAAATCTAGCGGAAAACTTTCCCCGCTAAATCTAGCGAAAAAAATTTCCCCGCTAAATCTAGCGGAAAACTTCCCCGCTCAATCTAGCGAAAAAAAATTCCCCGCTAAATCTAGCGGAAAAATTTCCCCGTCAAATTAGCGGAAAATTTCCCCGCTAAATCTAGCGGAAAACTTCCCCGCAAAATCTAGCGGAAAAAATTTCCCCGCTAAACTAGCGGAAAACTTTCCCCGCTAAATCTAGCGGAAAATATTTCCCCGCTAAATCTAGCGAAAAAATTTTCCCGCTAAATCTAGCGGAAAATATTATACGCTAAATCTAGCAGAAAAATTTCCCCGTTAAATCTAGCGGAAAAAATTTCCCCGCTAAATCTAACGGAAAACTTTCCCCGCTAAATCTAGCGAAAAAAATTTCCCCGCTAAATCTAGCGAAAAACTTTCCCTGCTAAATCTAGCGAAAAAAATTTCCCCGCTAAATCTAGCGAAAAAATTTTGGTCACGTGACCCGGGGGGTCACGTGACCTCTGAGGGGGCACGTGTTTGCCCCCACGTGACCCCACCAAGGTCACGTGGGGTCACGGGGGACCCCCCCCGTGGGGGGTCACGTGACCCCCCCCCGAGACCACGTGGCCCTCAGTACCCTCCCCTCCTCCTCTTCAAGAGCTGCGCTCCAATTCGGCGTTACAGGGAGTGGTAAACGACTTTCACTTTTTTCCCTGGCGCACAGGGCAAGTGCCGGCTTCTGCCCTGCCTTCTCCGCCCACCGTTGAGTCTCGCTCTCGATGACTCTTGTGCGGACGTTTTCCAGCTGTTGCTCTTGAGTCGAATAGAGGAGAGGGCTGTTTATCCGATACCGGAGGGCCAGCTGGCGTGTCGGTCGCACCCACCTGGTAGAGAGGCTCTTGAGGGGGATGTGCTTGAAAGCCTGTCTTGCCCACCGCCCATCCTGCATTTGGCAGAGGCGTCGTTCAAAGCCCAGCTTGGCCCGGGCCTCTCTGGCATCGAAGCTGGACCACCCCATGTGCCCCTACACTGCCACGTTAGGTGTTCCTCGGCTGGCTCCCCGTGCCGCCCGTCCCACTTCTCTCTGGCGCACCTCTAGGCGCTCACGCGTGCGGGACGACAGACACAGGGCTCCGTTTCCAAAAGTGAGGCCCGACACAGCCGCCATCTTCCACACAGCCCCGTAGATCTCGAAGCGGTTGTAACCTCGGAGGGCTCTGGCAGTCGATATCCCCTTGGACCTCCTGCTCTTAGCCTGGAGCCTTGTCTCATGGTCTTCGAGGTAGTTGTGACCCTCCTGGACGTGAATTCCCAGGTACTTGTATTCTGACAGCCACGGTAGTTGTTCCCCTTGGATTTTCAGGTCATCTGGCTCGGTGTGTCCTCTGTCGCCGAAGCACATCAATGCCAACTTCTTAGCACTGAAACTCAGCCCCAGTGCCGTCCCCATTGTGTTGCACTCATTCATAAAGGCCTACAGGCCCTCCAAAGAGTCCGCCATCAGGACGATTTCGGCGGCATAGACTAGCTTAGATTTTTTTCCTCCCCACTGGTTCCCGTCTCCGTATATTCCAGGGTGAAGCCCTCGGCGCAGTCCTGCAGTCACTTTTCGAAGCCTTCTATGTAGAGCATAAACAGCATTGGCGACAGTGGGCATTCCTTTTTTAGACTCTTGGTGATGGCTACTGGATGAGTCATCTCTTCTTGCCACTGTGCCACCACAGTCGTCTCCTTGTAAATTTCCTTCAGCAGGTTCATACACTCCCCTCCGAGCCCCCGCTTTGCTAGCTGCCTCCACAGATTCTCATGGTCGACCAAGTCGTAGGCCCGGCTGATGTCGAGGAAACAGGGGTTAAGTGGACGCCTCTCTTTCTGGGCGATCTCTATGGCCCGCGTCCGCACGAATAAATTGTCCTCAAGGTGTCTCCCCCACCGGAAACCGTTCTGTAGCTCTCCCAGGACTCCTTCTGCCTCTGCCCATGTCTCCAGTCGGTCTCGTTTTATCTCTGTGAACACGCGGTAAAGTACTGTAGAGCTATGGGGCGGTAGTTGCCCAGCGTTGACTTTTGTCCTTTTCCCTTGTAGATGAGTTGGAGTCTTGAGGTTTGCCACTCCACCGTCACCCATCCCTCCTTATGGATCTGGTTGAGGATCTCGCGCAGCAGTGCTCTTGTCTCTGGCCCCAGCTCCTTCACCAGCCTCATTGGGATTCCGTCCATTCCAGTGGCTGTGGTTCCTCCCATCCTCTTGACTGCACTCTAACTCCCTCTCCGTGATTTCCCCTCCGCTCGGTTGCTCCTGCAGTTCGTCCTCCGTCTCTCCTTCTGACTGTCCATTTGTCGGCTGTCCCCTGTAAACATGTCCCCAATCCACCTTCCAATGTACCGGTTGGTCTCTCGAGGATCCAGCTCCTTTCCCGTCGCATCGTCTTTGATTACAGCATCGTCCTTGGGTCGGCCTGTTTGGCCCTGTACATGTCGCAAGAACGTCAGTGGGGCCTCACGTCCTGCCTTTCTCAGTTCTTCCAGAAATCTCTTACCTACCTTGGCCGTTTTTCTTTGAATCAAAGCTGTCTCCCTTTATTTTCCTGCTCTGGTACTCCCTCCACTCTCTTGAATCGTTCTGTAGGGGGGCTTTTTTCTGCTCCTTTCGTTTCCTGATGGTCCCACGCAGAGTTCTGTTTGCCAGTTGCCTTCTTGTAATGGCCTCCCTCACCTCCACATCCCACCATCGTTTTCTCCTCCTCTTCCTTCATGTCGGTCGTTTTAGTTTTTCCAGGTGGTCTTTCCACCACCGCATGAGGTTCCTGTACGTCTCCACCTGCCTGGTTTCCACCTCTTCCTTGAGTTTCTGTGCAATGATTTGTGCTTCTGCTTGCGTTATGTGGTGTTGTTTCATAGGTTCGCTGACTTTATTTTCCGTTGGTTTCCTCCGAAAGTGATCAGCATTCTGTTGTGATCACTTCCCAAGCTCTTGTCGCCTTCCTCGTCTATCTCCATGTAGTTCAGTTTTTCATGCAGGTCTGGGCACACCAGGCAATATTCAACTGTAGAGGTCATCCCTCTGGCCGTCCATGCCGTCTTCCCTATGCATTTATCTTGTGCGTTGACGATTACCATGTCCAGGTGTTCCGCCATGTCCTGCAGCAGCTTTCTATTACAGTCTGTTCTCCCATCGAACTCCTCTAGGTGTGCGTTGAAGTCGCCTACCATAATGGTAGGTCTCCCAATGTTGTGATAGTCTTTTTCAATGCACCTGATTAGCTCGATGTTTGTCTCCCTGCTGTCTGAACCCGTCCACAGGTACTCCACTGCCACTGCCACCTTTCTCCCCGCCAGTATCCCCGTCAACCACATGTGTTCTCTGCACTCTGGCTTTCTCTCCGCCAGCCTGGCACACTAAAGCATCCCCCCTTCCCCTTCTCTCACGGCCCTCTCTGTTTACCCTGCATAAAAAAAACGGTTTAAAAATAAACAGGAATGAATCCGGAATTTCAAACCGTCATATGGGCCCCTAAGCAAACCGGATTTCTAGCAACCGTAAAATGAACCGGAAATGCCCAGTCCGGAAACCCAACCGTAATTGGTCGAA